CATAGTTGGTGCTAGCAGTGACAGTGGCTTATCCTTGAAATGGTCACTTATGTTTGTTTGTTCATGCTTTACATGCGCATCTAAGTCATTCTCAGTGCAGTGGTCTGCAAGTGGATTCGAAAGAATGGCGTGCTGTACAATATCCTAAGTACCACTTCCTGACATTGTATTCATATTTCATTATAACCTGTGTATGTTTTGTGTAGAGGTGTCTTGCATAGGGCCATTACCGATCCTAAATAATGAGAACATCAGTTGTATTCAGCATTTTTGCAGTATACAAGTGGAGTATGACATTTTCAGTCAACTGACACTGTTCAAATTGTTCTAAGCTGGTGCCAACATAGGTCTCCGTTTGACACCAAAGTGAGCCCGATTCGTGGGGTATACTTAGGAGCACAAAGTTCTGAATATATGGGACATACACAGCGCGAGGTTTATTTTGGGATACACCTACGCGCTTGTACAATAACTCGAGTTTGCTTTGTAGCTGGAACGCTGAGTCAATGGGTCTAACTGTGTAGAAGTAGTAGAGTCAATGAGTCTAGCTGTGTAGAAGTAGTAGAGTCATTGGGTCTAGCTGTGTAGAAGTAGTAGAGTCAATGGGTCTAGCTGTGTAGAAGTAGGTTTAGCTTATTTATTTATTTATATTTTGTTTTGTTTTATAAATTTAAATAATAATAAATACTACACTAAAAGCAAGTTGGCACTTGGCGAAGCCAAAATGTGACGAAGAAATGCCACAGACATTTTGTGATGATTTGTAGAGATTGCGGTACAATATACAAGAAGAGAGGCTTAGTACGAGCTTGTGTAAAAATATGTGTTTTCCATAATTCTTTTTTCTAATAAAATAGAGATTTACTTTTTCCTCCCCGGTGTGAAAAAAAAACAAGAAGGCCCTGGCACAGTACAGCGAGTATTTTTATATTTAAATATTTAGACTCAGTACTGTAACTTAAAATTTCGTATATCTATTAGTGTATTTATAGTCTTTAGAGAGCTATGATACCAGCACAAGGCGTGCCTAGACACTACAGCCGATATTATAGCATTTTTTATACATAGATTCAATCCCCAACTGTTGAAATTCAAGTGAGGATCAATTCCCATTTCAAGCTTTCCTACCCACCGGAACAACTTGCAACGTATACAAAATAGACCACATATTTAAATCCACCATACGTACATATGAATAACAATATATAACAATACAATAACAATAATATATATTATATATATATATATATATGTACCATTCTGAGTCGGAGA